GTAACACAGCATACGTACGCGTCGGATATTCAAACTCGATTTTCTCGAAAACTAACCTGAAAATGAAAAAATTTTATTCCATATTTTCTTCTTATTTTTTCATAAGTAATCACCTCGTGCCCGCTTGTACGCGTTATTCGGCCGCACCCTGTGTATGTATATACGTGTTTCTGTGTGTGTGCTTGTTGAAAGGACAGGAAACGAATTCAGTCGTAACAGCTAGCTTTTTTTTTTGTTTTCCATAGCACATACATTCATAATACGTAGATTGTTCATAGCTTAGTGTGGTTCCTCTATCCTCTTTTTTTATTTTTTTATTCTTGGTTTATAGCAACAGCGAATACACTAGAGCTCTCTTCTTCTTCTTCTTCTCTCTTTTTTTTTTCATTATTTTTTTTTTGGTCAGATTAACAAACGTAGTTCTAGATTACAATTTGCCGTTGACGCGTCGATTGTGCTCGACGAAGACCGGATGTTTCGAGCACAAACGACTGAGCCGGTGCGTCAACGGCAGCTTGTGATCCGAAAATTTCTTTTTTCTTTTTCTTTAAACGGGAGACCGCGGTCAATCATCCGGGAAAATGAGGGTCTCCCGAGTTGAAATCTCTCTTTTCGTATCTGCTCCGGCGAAATATCTGCTTAATCTGCGCGCGATCGGTTTAAAGAAGACACTCGGGAAAAGATCTACGAAGTTTAGCTAAGAGGAGAGTGCAAGGAGCGTAATTTTCTTCACTAACAAGCGTTCTCGTCGTAAAAGCGGTAAAATTAAAAGACCTCGCGCACATCTACTCCCCTTCGACACACGCTTCCATTTTTTTTCGGGGTGTTTTCGCGCGTGTATTTACGCGAAGAAAGCAATCTCTCGTCGACAATGAAATTTTCTTCTTTATCGATCGATTGAAAACGCAACGCGACACGTTTCCAAAAATTTCTCCACCATTCTCTTCCGTTCCTCATCGCATTTTATCTCCGACAAAATGTCATTCTTCCCCCTTTTACAGGGTATATTCCTTACGTTGAACAGGGACGCGATCGTTTCTCTTCTCTTCAATGTCCGGCATGTAAACAAACAGCACCTTGTTCCATCTTCCTTTCTTCTTCTTCTTCTTCTTCTTCTTCTTCTTCTTCTTCTTCTTCTTCTTCTTCTTCTTCTTCTTCTTCTTCTTCTTCTTCTTCTTCTTCTTCTTCTTCTTCTTCTTCTTCTTCTTCTTCTTCTTCTTCTTCTCTCGACGCTTTGAATAACGATTTGTTTGTTTCTTGTATTATTATTTGTTATTTTTTTTTTTTTTGTCATTTTTACTCCTACATTTACAGTATTATGTACAACTCTGTTTGGCACCGAAATTGTCTCTTAATCGAATTGATGCCAACGAAGGGTCCAAATATATGAACACGATCCACGACGTATAATTAACCGCGAGACGGACGCGTTCGTTCACTCCGTAGCCACTTTAACCATTTCTCTCCTCTTTTCTCATTCTCTCCGCGATATACGAATCTCCGTTGCTGAGGGGAAAAAAGAAGCTCGACGTTTGTTTCGACCTTCGATCCGTTTTCACCGTCTCTTCACAGGAATTCTTCCTCTTGTTCTCTTCAACGTTAGAACCAGCCCTGCGTATCGAGAGGTGTCCAAACAGCGTTTGAAAGTGTTAGCACGTTAGAAGTTCCTTTGGCATAGTTTAGAAATGTACATTATGTGTGTCCATCGTTTCAACTCTCGACCACCACCGTTTCAGTGGAATGTGTGTTGCCTAACAAACAGTTTTGGCTCCGACGAATTTCTCTCATCCGCGAGCGTGAGTTTCGCTAGAGCCAAACAAAATGGAGGCGAACGCGTTGCCAAAACGCCTCGAATCTTCAGAATGTATTCTCTCCGCGAGAAAGAAGAGACACGTTTTCTAAATCATTTTTCAATTTCGTTCTATATATATATATATA